AAGCATCCCTTTCCTCCCGTACGAGAATGCAATTTCTGCATTATTTATATATTTATTTTTAAAGAAGTATTAATGCTGTCACCACTTCTCTAGAAGACTTGACAGGATTATTTTTTATTAACGTGGAGTATAGTATAAATATACTAATGGTGTTACTGAGATAATTTTTTTATCTTATTTTTATATAATTTTTACATATTATTAAATAAATGTATGCATTTAATATTATGAATCTCACATAAATTAAAAAAATTAATTTTTTAATGACATATCAAATTATATAAAAAAATAAAATAAAATAATTATCTCAATAACATTTCCTTAAATATATATATATATTAAATGATTCTTATATGATATATGATACGAGATAATTCATCTCATAGATAATTCATCTCATACAAATCTCTTTTTAGTTATTATAAAATTTATATTTGTGATCTCTAATATGATTTTGGTGAAAATAAAAACTTAAATATAATATTATTCTCCTAATTTAAATTTAGTAGATCTAATTTAACTTGTTCATCTTTTTAATTTTTTAATTTTGAATTTTAAATGAAAATTTAACATATTTTATAAAAAATAATTAAAATTTTTTATGAAATAAAAATACTCAACAAAAATTATATCTAGCAAAATTTTAATTATTATTTATAAGTTGTTAAGTTTTTATTTAAAATTTATATTTAAAATAATAAAAAATTAAACTAAAACAATTAAATTTGATCGAGAGAATAATAAAATAGTAAGAAATATCTAGATATGTACCTAATTTTTAGATCATGATGATGCGTAATTTGTTCAACCACCACTACCTATTTTAATACTAAACATCAACCTAATTCGAGGTTTTGGACCTGAATTGGTTGGATTAATGCATTAATATATACAAGCTCTTATTTTACTCGTAGGTTCGGATTTATCTAAAGAAGACGTTCAAATATATAAGCTCTAAAATTTAATTACCTGAATCCATGTCCACTCCAAATGGTTAAGATTGAAAGAGAAGTAAAATCTAACCTTAGAGACTCTCACTCGACAAAACGATCATCATATGTTTGAAAAGAAAATGGTGTAATGGAATCAAAACCCATGTGCTGGGTTCTTGACTCCTCCAATGGGGTGTCTGCCTCCTTGAAGCAAATGAAGATGGTCCAACAATATTGAGGTGCCTTTTGGTCTTGGACCACGACACCGAATGGGTCCTGACCTACATTTGCTAGAATACCTAATGCACTTTTCGATCTTTGGGAGGGACTCGGGTATACCGTATATACATATACAAGGTTGTCAAAATCGAGATTTTACCTAAAATCGTTTTGGTTAAGTGAAATTAGAATCATAAAATCGAATCGGTAAAATTAAGATTTTACAAAATTTAATATATAATATATAATAAATTATATAAAATCAAAATTAAATAACAATAAATCAAAT